GCCCCGGGCCCTGCGTCGCGCGCGCGCAGCCCGCTGGACAGCGCCACGTCCGCCAAGTGCCGCCAGCTCAAGGACTACCAGCGCGGCCTGGTGCTCTCCACCGTCTTCAACTCGCTCGAGTGCCTACTGGGCCTGCTCAGCCTCCTGCTCGTCAAGAACTACAAGTCTTCGCAGGCCCGGCGCGGCCGGCGCGGCCGGCGGGGAAAGCGGGCGCGGAGGCTGCAGCCGCGGCCCAGCGAGGCCTCCATCCTGTCTGCGGAGGAGTCGGACCTTGCCGGCCCCGGGGACTGCGCGGGCTTCGCGGCGCACCACGCTGTGTCCTTCATCAACGTGGGCGTCTTCCACGCTCGCGACGAGGTGGGCGTGGAGGTGTGCTGCGGCGGGCACCCGTCGGTGGAGCTGCCGGGCTACGCGCCCTCGGACCCCGACCTCAACGCCTCTTACCCGTACTGCTGCCGGCCTCCCATCGAGGCCGCGCGCCCCTGGGAGTCGGGCCGGGCCTGCTAAGCGCTGCGCGCCGCCAGGGGCCCGCGCCGCCGTTTCTCCTCTGTGTGGTTGGTATCCGGATTCCATTCAAAGTTTACAACCCATGTTCTGGGTCGGCTCTCCGACTGCTTTTCACCTTGGCGGAGTCCTTGGTTCCCTGGGGCAGTGCTCGAAGGTGCCCGGTAAAAACAGAGGTAAAAACAGAGCGGCCAGCGAGGGTGACTTCCAGCGTGGGTGACTTCCTGCGAGGACCTAGGCTGGGAGGACAGGGATGAAAGCAGCCGATATATGGGGCTGGAGGAAGTGAAAATCCACCCAACAGAACACTCTGTACACGGATGTGCCTGCTTCTGTCGACCCTTTCTTACTGTAAACCTCTCCATAAACAGTGAACATGTTTGGTAAATTTATTGCAATTTGAAGGTGGTGAGTTCCTTTATTAAATTAAGTGCTGTATTACTGGAGAATGTCCACCAGCTCCGAGCGAGAGATGTCTACAGGCAAATCAGCATGGGGTGGCTGGACGGGGCCTGCAGTACTGCGTGTGAGGGTTCTGTTCTGTGGCTGGCCGCAGGTCCAGCCCATCTCTGAGCTAACTTGCTGTGTGTGCAGACACAGATGCCAGGCCCCTGCATTTCTGTTTTTGGAAACTGGTTGTGCGGTTTCTACTGCAAAGCAGTAGAATTTATTTTTGGTTAATACACATGAACAATCTAATCCTATTTTGGAAAATCACAGTCATAGTTTTTCTGCAAAGACAATTTTCCTGTTAACTCATTACTCTGGTAATTTTGAATATTATATAGCATTTCATTTAAAATATACCCCTTAAATAGCCTTAATGAATGTGAAGGTCGTACTTTTAAACGACTAGGATGTGTATGTGTGTGTGCATGTGTGTGCGTGTGCACATTTACACACAATATGAAAAGAGTTGTACATGATAATGAAGTGTGTTTCCATCCTTCTGGTGGGATGGTGGGGGGCCAGGCAGGCTCAGTCTTCAAAAAGGGTGACCAGAATTCCTTGTGCCCGGTATCAATCATGGTGCCAGGCTAGTAGCTGCTGCATGACAGGCTGGGATGAGTCCCACCCTGGCCTATGCCAGGTATGTGCTTCTAGCAGATGGAGGACTGACCTAAGCACCAGCGCAGGTCACTGCAGGTGGGGGAAGCTGGGGAACCCGTGTGGTGTCTCCCAGGTGGCAGGAGTCCGTTTTAATGGTAGCAGCAGCCAGATTTAAGGATGCGTGTAGTTGCCAGGGGCAGACTCTGAGGTGGGACCTCTTCTCAGCCCAGTCCCTGAACGCCTGCTAACTGAGGACCCTCTCCCTGATGAGATTTGGCTGGGATGCCCTGCTACAGGCCCCTGAAGGAAGAGCCCTACCCCATTTTCAGGAAGAAAGGAGCCACCTTTATGTGGACTGAGAGCAGTGCAAACCCATCCTGCTGAGCTAGGACCATTTATGTAAAGTGTGGGGATCTGATCAGACCCAGGCCCAGGACTCAATCTGCTGGAAGAAAGTTGCCTAGGAAAGGGTTTCCCTCATGGCCTTAGTGCACTGCTCAGACCAGGCCTTCGCTATCCTGGGGGCAGAGTGAGAAAAGGGGTTCAGGGCTGAGGATATAGCTCAGTGGCACAGTGCTTGCCTGGCAAGCATGAGGTTATGAGTTCAATTTCTGGTACCACAAGAAAAAAAAGAAAAGGGAGTTCAGCTTGGCTCTCTGGTTCCACTGGCCCATCAGCCCAGGCTGCCTGCCCCAGGACCAGCAGCCTACTGGCCATCAGCCACAGTGGAAACTTTACAGGTGGCAGCACAAAGTGACTTCAGATGTGCCCTCCATGAGCTAAATCCAATGTGAGCTGCCAGGTGTCCCCACTGGGACCAGCAGCTTCTCGGGCAGCTGCCAGGCCTCCCTGCCCTGTGGTGAGCATGTAGTGGCTCCCTGGAGCTGCCTTGGGCAGAGAGGGCTTGCAGACAGCACAGACTCCCAAAGCAAGTCCTCCACTATCATTTCGTTTTCTGAGGTGTTCAGTATTACATACATTATACAGCTCAACATGTGAGATGTACGAATCTTTCAAAATTTCAATCAAAGTCAGTGACCTCTCTGAAGTCCCACGTGTTTCTTGGGATAGACAGAAGGCAGAGCAGGGTGGGCGGGCGGATCCCTGCACATCGCCCAGCCAGAACAGTAGCGGGGCCAGGCACAGCCCAGGGCAAACCCGCCTCTTTGCACAACCAAGAAACAAACTGGGTTGTTTGAAGACTGCGCGTTTCTAACTCCACAAACCCTCAGCTTCACATTTCTGGGGTGGCTCCAGGACGTGGGTACCGTGGTTTCATTTTTGAAGTTTAGTGGAAGAAACAGAACCTGTCTGTCCCTAAACTCAAATTGTTACAAAGGCCGATTCTCAGGGAACTGAGTCCAGGGTCACGAGGCCACCAACCTTCCTCCAAATCAGACTCACTTCCCGTCTCCACTCTGCTGCACAGCAGCTCGGGGCAGCAGTTTCTATTTATGTTCATCCAACTCTCTGAAGCTTTAACGCGTGGCTCAGAGTTGATTCTGTGTGCTGTCTGGACACGAGGCCAGCCCTGGCCTTTCCCCCAGTGGGTCTTATTCTGCTTCCTGTCGAGTTTACTATGACGAGACAACAAAATTAAACACATATTAGCATTTTTATGTGGTTAAATGCTGAGTTTATAAGTTATTCTTTTAACATAAAGGTGTGATCTAGTTAAGCAGAAGGAGTCCACTGCTCATATGGCTAGGGATTTAGTTTTAAGGGAATAATTTTTTTATAATTTTATTTTATTTATTAGTACATGTTTACGTACATAATGATTACATTTATCAGGGGAAGTTTGTACGTGAACGCAGCACATCTTCATTCTTTTTCTGTCCCCTTCCCCTCCATCCCTCCCTCCAGTTCTTCTTCCCTTTCCCATTTGCAAAACCTCTATTTCCATTTTTTCTTCAGTTCTTTTTTTAATCTTAAGGGAATAATTTAATAAAGAGACAGGATGCTGTGTACAGAATGGGCAGTGAAGTTGTCAAACAAGGCATACTTTCTTAGGCTTGGCAGACCTCCACTACATGGGTCCTTATTACCTTTCTGGAGCCAGGGGGTGCTCTGTCCTTCTGACAGGGATCTGAACCACACAGCTAAACTTTTGATAGAAAATTCAATTAAACAATCACTTATTGGGCCCAGGATATAGCTCAGTGGCACATCGCCTGCCTGGCAAGTGCAAAGTCCTGAGTTCAATTCCCAGTACCAACTACCCCCCAGCAAAATCACTTATCTTTCTTTCTTTTTTCTTTTTTTTTTGTTTTTTTTTCCAGTACCAGGAATCAAACTCACGACGTCGCGCTTGCCAAGCAGGTGCTGTACTGCTGAGCTAAATCCCCAGCCCCCAAATCACTTATCTTTAAAAATCAGATGGTTAGTTCTGAATTTCAAAGTGTTAGTCACTGAAGTTTTTACTCCTGGTAAGTGTGCTGATGCAGTGCAGGGGGAACCCTTGAACACAAGTACATACATCTACACTCATGCGCATATGTGCACCTGGATGTGTGTCCTCGTGTACACATGCCCAACCAGAATGTGTGTACTCATGCATACCACAGCACACATATAGATGTGTGCACACTATACAGATGCAGGGTGCACTTACTACATACACATGTACACTGTACATAGTGTACCAGGACACACATATACATACCACCCAAACACATGCATATGTGTATACCAGAGCACACATATAGCTGTGTGCACATTACACAGAGGCACAGTACACACACATGCATTTGCACACACAGATATGTGCACAGTATACTGGTGCGTACATATACACACATGGATGCATATGCCAGAGTCTTCTGAAGTCCAGGTCAACAGCCTTGCCAGGCGTCCAGGATACATGTCAAGCCTGGCCATGCTGAATTTTGTCCTTTTCTGTGGCATTAGCAGCACAGGATAGCATAGATAAGGCCCACTGGAGTGCCTGGTGGGTGCTGAGCTGCTCTCATACCCAGGTAGGGAGCAGCAGGTGGGGCAGCCTCTTTGCAGCATCTGCACAGATCTGAGGGACCCAGTGGGGAGGGATGGAGCTGGCTCAGCTGCAGGCTACCTGTCTGCTTCAGGATGAGCTCCACACTGAGTTGTGGCACCATCTTTCAGTGGCTTCCAGAGTCTCTCCCACTCAAAGCACCTCTCATAAGATGCCAGAGGAAAAAGCACATGGTGGAGGCCCAGGCAGGGAGTCCTGGCAGGTAAGTGAACACTAACACTGCCCTCATCTCCACTGTGACAAACACAGGTATAATTTCCCAGTGACTTGCCTTTGCTTAATTTGCTACAATCAACAGAAAAAAAAAATTGACAAAATAGGAAAAATAATTTAGGAAAGTAGAATGCGACTATCCTTGTGTCCACAGACCTCTGTCTTCCTGTATAGCTCCTGGGGTGGCATGAGAGAGCTGGTCCCATGACAGATGTGCTCATCCTAGTTTTCTTGAGGTCTTGGTGTCTTGATAGGAGTCTGACACAGACTGCATCTCCCAAGAGACACCACCTCAGGAGCCCGCTGTCACCTTATCAGCCATCTGGCCATCCTCAATGGAATGTCACTGTCTGGCCAACACAGTGTACTCCAAAACATCTGTGCTCCTCTGTTTCTGACCTGTTTCTGGCCGATGGTGGCAGAAAGTGGCTGTGAGCCTGCAGGCCATTCTGGGCCTTTCACTCCGAGATGCATGGACACTGGCCCTCTTAGCTCCTGCTTTCTCTCTTGGGTGCCTGCTATGCCATGGTCCCATTAGAGTTTGTATTCCTTTGATGTGGTTTCCAAGTTACTTGGGACCGCTTTCTTCATCTGTATGCTGTCATGTTGCCTTAGAAACATTGTTGAAGACAGGAGACCTCATGGGTCCCAAGTGGTCCTTCTTGGGGAATTCAGGGATGGAGAAGCGGACTAAGCCCTATGTTGGGATATAGGTGATGGGATGCAGGTGATGGGCTGCAGGTGGCAGGATGCAGGTGTTGGGGTGCAAGTGTTGGGATACAGGTAACAGGATACAGGTGAGATGAGGTAGGTGACAGGTGCAGGTGATGGGATGCAGGTGACATATTACAGGTGATAGGATGTAGGTGACAGGATACAAGTGACGGGATTCAGGTGATGGATGCAGGTGGTGAGATGTAAATGTTGAGATGCAGGTGATGCAGATAACAAGAAGAGTTGATGGGATGCAGGTGACAGAATGCATGTGGTAGGATGTAAGTGTTAGGATGCAGGTAGGGGACTTAGGAAACAGATGCTGCTGTTAGGACCTGAGTCACAGAATGCAGCTATTGGGAAGCAGGTGATATGTTGCAGGTGAAAGATGCATGTGATAGGATGCAAATGGTGAGATATAGGCATTAGGAGACAGGTGATAGAATGCATGTGGTAGGATGCAAGTGCTGGTATGTAGGTGTTAGGATGGAGATAACAGAATGCAGATGAGGCGGTGCAGGTAACAATGCTGGTGTTAGGATGTAGGTCATGGGATGTGGGTGTTAGGATGCAGGTAGTAGGATGCAAATGATAGGACGCAGGTGATGGGGTGCAGGTGATAAGGTGCAGGTGATAGGATGAAAGCAGTAGATGTAGGTGGTGACAGGCAGTTGGCAGAATGCAGGTAGCAGGACACAGGTATTATAATACCCATCAATGCAGATGTTCAACAATCTCCCTTTCCCGTGGTTTTCTTTTTTGCACTTTCCCTTATTTATGGATGAATAAGTCTGCAAATATTAAGTGGAAAATTACAGAAAGATACAATCCACAAGTTTTCAACTAGTTGTGCTCCTTTTTGTGCAACATAATGCAACCTTGTACCGCCCCACCCCCTATTCTTTCTTAGGGACTTGAATAAACTCTGTGTCCTGT